CCAATTTATAGATTATAAACTGGGATGGGCCCGGGAATTGGGGTGCGGCAAAGAACAAACGGAATGAGAGCCAGGAACGAAGACAGGCATTGTGGAATGAGTTCATCAAAGATTACGAAAAACGTCAGTTTCTGTGATCGATATTCCCGCTTGTGACATCCATCAGCCACGTTGTCTTAATTGGACCACGTTTAACAGAAAGGAACCAAGCCACATCAGCTATTGCCAAATTTAACTAGGCGATTTAATTTTTTACGAGAGAACGCTCCTGTGGATTCCTTTGAAAACTTTAAGGAATTTGGTCCCCTACTATGGAGGAAATTCGCTGAAATTTGCATGAAAATCCGCACAACCGTTTTCATGTCAAAAATTGAAGTGTCACATTAAATTTGGCAGTAGCTGATGTGGCTTGGTTCCTTTCTGTTTAACGCAGTCCAATTCTCTCTATGAAAGGGACCCTAGGTCCTTCGAGAATAGATGCGTTGCTAAAGTCTCCAGAAAGCTCTCCAGCATCACCCGGAAACAAGGACAAACCGTTTTTGGACTCCGGAGGAATTAGCCGAAGACTTGCTACGTCAGTCTCCGGACTGCTCTCCAACTCTCCGATCAGTCGAGGTCAAAGACTATACAGAGAGTGACGTAGGAGTGAGGGTTGGTTTTACTTCCTCTTTATACTTCGCGTCTTTTTTTCAGCACGGGAGAAAGAGGTAGGGGTTAAGACCCTCAGGCGGCTCTATCTGAACCCACAAGCGGAATTGAAGGGTGGCATCAAAAGTGCAAAACTGTTAAAACTTAATTTGATCGCATTGAATTGTTAACTATTTATTTACATTAGTTCAGCAGGACGCTTTCTTCATCATTAATTGTCTGAGAGTAACCAAGAGTTTCGGTAGATCTAACCTAAAATTTGATCAACATTTTGTAGCCAAAAATTTTGGATCGTACAAGAAATTTTAACCAGGTTCTTTTCGGTTGATCCGACCGAAGAAATAGTAACTTAAATCGACCCGAATTAAAGATAAAAACGGAAATTTTGAACTATGTACCAGCTCTTGGATCCTCCAGAGGCAACCGTCAGCAGATTCCCCAGAAGGGTCCCCTGCATTTTTCCGCCAGGCGCCTATTGATGTCGGGACACGGGATTAATAATTTTATTTTCGTTGTTGGAGTTGTACGTGGTCCACCCACGCGTAGCTCCTCGGTCGGCGAGTAGAACACACCTAGCCCCCTGTTGCCAGATCCGCCAAATAACTCAAAAATAACCCGTAAATCTCCGATGGATCCCGGGCGATCCGGCACAGGACCCAATGTTGGGTCGACGCCGGCGCCCAGCGTGTCAGTCGTCGTAATTGCTCCGCAAATTTTCAGTCAATCAAACGAACGTTTTTATGCCAAAAGGAACTATGTCCCACACAAACTTTATGCACATAGTTCTTTTTAGCATATAAATACCCTCAAATTGATTTCTACTGCCGGCGATTAATAGTCACACGGTCCGGTCATTAATTAAAGGTCCGAGGGGGGATCCGAGTTTGGCGCCACGGATACCAGTGGCGTGGCGTGAGTTGCGATATATCGATCGTTATGCCATATAAACCTATGGAAAAGGATCGATAAACAGGGAACACCTTAATAATCGATTCTTCACCATAGGTTTAAATGGCATAACAATCGATATATCGCAATTCACGCCACGCCACTGACGGATACACGATCGACGTTTATCCCCAAATTCTTCAACGTCCGACCGTGACGGCGGCGCGCGTAAAAGTTGAATAATGTCCAGGCGAGCGAGTGTCTCCATTGTGGCGCGAGCGTGGGTCGTGGGTGCTGGCGGGTTCCGCGAGACGCGCTGCGCCAAGAGATGTTTCAAGGACCCCACACCAATTCTGCCGAGCTGAGGAAGAACGCCGTATGAGCCTTCAGGCATTGCCAAATTTGCCTTGATAGAATGGAGATGTTGTATGCGTTTTGATTATCGATTCATATGTAAAAGTTCGCGAGAAACACGATGGTGCCACTGGTTTTCTCTGAAATCATCTCCCAAGCTCAAAAAAAGCTCTCAAGTTGAGCCCAAAATGGAAGGGATATCCCACGGTATCCTGAGAGTCCACCTCTACATCAAAACAAACTCCCCATGCAAAGATAGGGAGCAAATACATTTGCAATGTTGCCGTGTTTTCAATTTCAGAGTCCCTAGATAAAGTGGCAGCCCTGTCAATGTATTTGCTCCCTATCTTTGCATGGAGTGTTTGTCTTGATGTAGAGGTGGACTCTTAGAATAGCGTGGGATATCCCCTTCATTTTGGCCTCAACTTGAGAGCTTTTTTTGAGCTCGGGAGTTGATTTCAGAGAAAACCAGCGGCACCATCGTGTTTCTCGCAAACTTTTACATTAGAATCAACAGTCAATGGACCAATAGACAAGGTACGAATTTAAGCATTCTAATACACGTTTCTTGACCAGAATTTCACGTAGAACACGATTCGCGCGACGAAAATTACCAAAATCAACTTCTAACAAAAATATTAACGTTTATATTTCATATTGGTTACGAGGAGTTTGAACTGCCCGCTCACAAGAAACTCAAAGCTCTACGTGAGTCAAATCGTGCACTTCAACGGTTTCAGCAAGCTTCTCAATCAAGCGATGTTCATTTCCCACCATGTGCTGTTCAAACTATAAACAACTTGCAATAGCTGAGCTGAAGCGTCAAGATTAAGGTTGCCAGATTTTTATATCGCAGAGACTGTCATGATAACGTTTAGCGCGCGATGTGAGTCACGTAGAGCATTGAGTTTTCATGAGCGGGTGGTTTGAATTCACGCATCCAGAATCATTAAATATCTTCATACCAAGTTGATTTCGGTAATATTCGTTGTGCGCATCGTGTTCTACGTGAAATTTTGGTCATGAAACGTGTATGAGAATGCTGAAATTCGTGCCTTGTCTACTGGTCCATTCAACTAAAATGGAGATGTTGCATATGTGAGGGATTTGCGATTTGACTGTTGATTCTTTTGTAAAAGTTCGCGAGAAACACGATGGTACCGCTGGTTTTCTCTGAAATCAACTCCCGAGCTCAAAAAAAGCTCTCAAGTTGAGCCCAAAATGGAGGGGATATCCCGCCCTACCCTGAGAGTCCACCTCTACATCAAAACAAACTCTCCATGCAAAGATAGGGAGCAAATACATTAGCAGGGTTGCCGCGTTTTCAGTTTTGGAGTCCCTAAAAAAAGTGGCAACCCTGCTAATGTATTTGCTCCCTACCTTTGCATGGAGAGTCTGTTTTGATGTAGAGGTGGACTCTCAGGATAGCGTGGGATATCCCCTCCTGTTAGACCTCCACTTGAGAGCTTTTTTTGAGATTGGGAGTTGATTTCAGAGAAAACCGGTGGCATCATCGTGTTTCTCGTGAACTTTAACGTAAGAATCAACAGTCAAATCGCAAATTCCTCACACATGCAACATTTCCATTCGCATTTTCACACGGAGCAAAGGTTTTTTTCTTCAGTTTTTTTCTCCGTGCAGGAAAATTTGTGAAAAATTTCCTTCCAATTTTTCAGAGGATTTTATTCGCAATTTAACTGAAAATTTCAAGGGAAGATACTCATAAATTTCCTCTAAAAGAAATATTTCATGACGAGAAATCTGGCAACCTTCAAACATTCATAAGAAGTTTTTCCTTAGCACGGCAAAATTCGTCTCTCCTATAGCATGAGGGCGTATCCCGAATTCCACGTGAGCCGTGTTCTCGCTATAACTCAATGCTTTTCGGGGTTCATGCGGAAATAGAGATACGCCCTTACGCCAAGGAGTGCCGAATTCTTCCGTGCTCAGGAAAACTAGGTATGAACCGTTAGTTGTTGTCACATTTCCGTCGATAAAATACGAATTTACCAGGAAAATTCTGAATATTTGTCTTCTAATTATTCAACCCGTAAATTGCAGAGCTTGGAGGACAAGGCGCGTAAGTGCAGTTTTTGAACAATTTGAGATATCAATGATTTCAAACAATACTAGTCTTAATGCATATTCTGTGAAAAATTCGCTCCCAAATTCCAATTTTTAATCATCAAAAAGTCAGTTTGCACTTTCTACTATGAGGATCCATGTAATTTCGAAATTTCGAACACGCGTATTTCTCAAAATAGCAAAAATTGCCCTTATGTGCCTTGTCCTCCAAGCCCCCTCTTTCAAATTATCCACAGTGATTTATTTTTACAATTTTTATGCAGCGTCGTTTTTAAAGCACGTCTTTGACAGAGCTTTTTTGTAACATACTGGTGGACAGTCCCAAAACTTTAGTCGATTTTAAAGTTTCTCAGAATTCTGATCATTCGAATAGAGGCATGAAATTGCACCAACAACGCTAAAGATCACAACTGAGTTGTTCTATAAAGAAGCTCAAGGCAAAACGTCGCTGAATCAAAGCTAGAAGCATAATTTGATCAAATAAAATCCGTAATAAATCGTAAATCAAGGCGTTCTTGACCGACACACTGCTGTGATTTTTATTCTAAACGAGAAATGCTGTTCATGCACTTCTCTCTCAAAAGGTGCCACATCAAGTGGCATATTGCCAAGCAAGCACAGATCGAACTTGTGATATTGAATAGTTAGCCTCATAACCGTGCGTGTTTATTTGGTGCGTTAACACTGGAATAGCGTGTGCAATATGAAGGGAAGGAAGAATAATAAAAAGGAAGATAACATTATACATTAAAAATGGCGATAAACGAATATTTAGCAAGCCACCCGCATTTAAAGATGCAAAACTCACATAGTGAGGAGGTGCACATGATAATTGGGGAATCTCTTGTAATAGGATTCTTAATTCAATGGTCGGCTCTCCGTGTGGTGTCGGTCACTTTTAGAAACAGATGATGTAGAGTTTATCGTCATAGAAATAGTCTGGGTTTAATATTTTTACGATCAAAGTCAAAACTCCGTCACGAGCATGTAGAAAAAATTAAGTTTGTATTCTTTTTTTGTTCCAGAAAATCTGACATTTCTAACCAAAGATCGAGGTCTCGAACTTACAATATTTGCAGAAGAGGCCAAAAGATATTTATGTTTCAATTCAAAATGGAGAATAATAGGATCGGTAAGTGATCATTCATCAGAATCTTTTTCTATAACAGAGCATCCACGTATTTCTACTAAGTACTCGTATTAGAAGGAAAACGCCCCAATCCACAGAAGGGAGGGAAGAGGATTGTGGAAGTTGATAATGTTACTACGCTGAAAGTCCATAAAATTTTTGAAAAAGGTAAATAGAACAAGCGGGAAAGCTCTTTTACGTTCGTACTAGAGAAGGGCTCAGCTGCTCTCTACACGGAGAAAAAAAACTCGTGCGTGGGACCCGAAGTTTAGGTCATATGGATCTCTGAAGTTTTCAGATTGAGCATCTGAACACTTTAGGTCTAGCTGCCGAGGTTCGGATCACACATCTGAAACTTCAGTTCTTACATCTGAAGTATTTCGATTCTCACATCCGAAGTACTTCGGTTCTCACATCTGAAGTACCTCGGTTCTCACATCTGAAGTACTTTAGATGTAAGAACTGAAGTTTCAGATGTATGATCCGAACCTCGGCAGCTGGACCTAAAGTGTTCAGATGCTCAATCTGAAAACTTCAGAGATCCATATGACCTAAACTTCGGGTCCCACGCACGAGTTTTTTTTCTCCGTGTATGTAGGCGTGTTTCCAAGTTCCCCGAAGAAGATACGCATCGTTGAGATGGAAGAATTCTCTCATCAAAAGTTTAATTGTCACATTTGAGAAAAATTACAATACCGTTAAAAAAATAAATTATAGAAAAACGATGATCGTCCTCTATGCTTTGACATCAGAAGCATTAAATGAAGGTATCTCAGATTAATCTATTTTGAACGTGTTAGGCCCCCCTCCGCGCCGCCATCTTGTTTTTGAACTAGTGCTCTATTTGAGCCAAGGTCCAGGTAAACGATCAAATTGAGCCATCAAACTGGGCCTCTCATTGGTCGCATCCTGAATGCGGCGACCAGTGAGAGGCCCAATTTGATGGCTCAATTTGATCGTGTAACTGGACCTCCAGAGACAGGAGACCCTCCACTATCTTGGCAACGGTGGAAGCTTTTATTTTCGGGATTTCAGCATTCTACTGTTGATTTACCTACATGCACGGAGAAAAAAACTTCGTGCGTGGGACCCGAAGTTTAGGTCATATGGATCTCTGAAGTTTTCGGATTGAGCATCTGAACACTTTAGGTCCAGCTGCTGAGGTTTGGTTCACACATCTGAAACTTCAGTTCTTACATCTGAAGTACTTCGGTTTTATATATATAAAGTCGCTTTATAACGCACTCTGGCGTTCTACGACCCCCAAACGCCACATATGCCTGTCTTCCCAGAGGTTATCGGGCAACTGACACCGCAACATCTCTTCTTCAACGCCCTACCGCCAACCCTTTACGGGACGTCCCCGCCGCCTCTTCCCAGGTGGTACCCAATCCAAAACTTGTTTGGGCAACCTCTCCTCCGACATTCTTTGCACATGTCCATACCAGCATAACTGCCTGGACATGACGTCGTGCACGATATCTTTCTCAACCTTCATCACCTGGCGAATTCTCTCATTACGGACACGGTCCCGTCTCGAAATGCCGGCAGATCGCCGCCAAAAATCCATTTCAGTTGCCCTCAACATTTCTTGCGTTCTTTTCGTCAAAGGCCACACTTCCCTACCATAGAGCACGATACTTTTAACGATCTACTTCTTCTTTTTACGATCTACGATACTTTTAACTTCGGTTTTCACATCCGAAAATTTCGGTTCTCACATCCGAAAAACTTCGGTTCTCACACCTGAAGACTTCAAATGTAAGAACTGAAGTTTCAGATGTGTGATCCGAACCTCGACAGCTAGACCTAAAGTGTTCAGATGCTCAATCCGAAAACTTCAGAGATCCATATGACCTAAACTTCGGGTCCCACGCACGAGTTTTTTTTCTCCGTGTGGTTGATGTTCAATAACGTGTTGGCAGTTTCGTTTTACAAACACGCCGAAAATGGCCGAAGTTTGGGAAACTTGTTTGACTCATGACGTCACCCGAAGCTCATCATCCACCATGTCGATAGGCCAATAGCCAAAATTAGGGTGATGACTGTTGCTCCCTTATAATGGAGATGTTGCATGTGTGAAGAATTTGCGATTTGACTGTTGATTCTTTTGTAAAAGTTCGCGAGAAACACGATGGTGTCACTGGTTTTCTCTGAAATCAACTCTCAAGCTCAAAAAAAGCTCTCAAGTTGCGGCCAAAATGGAGGGGATATCCCACTCTACCCTGAGAGTCCACCTCTACATCAAAACAAACTCTCCATGCAAAGATAGGGAGCGAATACATTAGCAGGGTTGCCGTGTTTTCGTTTTGGAGTCCCCAAATGAAGTGGCAGCCCTGTCAATGTATTTGCTCCCTATCTTTTCATGGAGAGATTGTTTTGATGTAGAGGTGGACCCTCAGGGTAGGGTGAGATATCCCTCCATTTTGGCCTCAACTTGAGAGCTTTTTTTGAGCTCGGGAGTTGACCTCAGAGAAAACCAGTGGCACCATCGTGTTTCTCGCGAACTTTCACACAATAATCAATAGTCAAATCGCAAATTCCTCACACATGCAACATCTCCATTGTCCATAAGGAACTGCTGAATCCCCGAAAATAAAAAGCTTCCACCTGTCGCCAAGAGGCCAGTGGAGGGTTTCTTGTCTCTGATTTGAACGCATCGCCACTAGTTGCAAATGAATTATGAATCGATGAGTTTGCATTTTTGAAATTTTGAATGTTCCTCTGTTGCAGAAAAAATTTCAAGAGCCGATGTGTTTGTTCCGAGAAAGTATGAGTAAGCTAATACAGGGCTACTTCCAATACAGATCTGTGGCTGATCCAACGAGGATACTCAGCTTCAACAACCGGGGACGACCGATCAAATGCCCTCAAAACAAGTCCTATCAGAAGTGTAGCAATTTCCTCAAATACGACGACTCCTTCAACGTACCAGAACATAATAAGAAGATCAAAAAAACCCAAAAATCCAATAAACCCAAATACCCAAATACCCAAAATACCCAAACATTCATCAGGCATAGTCAGCACCGGTCTCGAAACTCCATCACTACCTAGTTCAGCTTAGCTTAGTCCTGTACATGAATAGGCGCTTGTTTTGCTTATACTACACATGTAGTCTTCGTTCGTTGTCAGCATGATGCTTGACATCAACACAATTTTCCGTCTAGGAAACGGAAAAATTGATGGTTGAATTGTTGAATGAGTCTCTCGGTGTAGTTTCCTTTTTTTTGTTTGTTCTGACAACATGTCATTCCATAGTACGTGACATTTTGAGGTGTTTATGATGCATGTGAACATCTCGACATCTCAAGACGTGAACATCTTATGATGCTCTCCTCAAGAGGAACATACAATCAGATGTTGTCAAAATCACCAAAATGATGTTCAGCATTAGCAGATTTGAAGTGTCTCCAGATCGACGGCGTGGAAACTCAATGTTTTTCTTTTCCTTTCATTTCTTCTTTTCCAAACGTCAATTTTTTTTATTTTTCTCGATGTAGACGTAACGCAAACACTTTTCTCCTATAGCAAGTCAGCTTCCTCTCACAGCTCGTTTCTCAAATATTTTTGAACATTATCACATTCCTCAAGAAAAACATAAAAACCTGAGAAATAAGCAAAGGTAAATAAATCATAGTTAGGTTTTTAGTACAAATTAAAATAATTTGATTTATCGGTAAGCTTCTAGTCGTTTTAAAATTTACTTTGAGAAAAATTTCTTCATTGACTGATTTTATAATTAAACTGCTTTGATAAATAGTTAGGCTTGTGAAAAGAAGCAAGTTCCTGATATACAGTTCGTTTTAAACCCATTTTTATTTATCATTTTTTAGTTTTTCTCATTCTGTTTTGTTTATATCCCGGTCAAATCATCGTACGTGATTTACGTGAATGTCTTTTTTCATACTTTTATTCAATTCATGATTTGAGAAGAACTGCTTTATTCATTGATTTTTAATATGAATTTTTGGACAATGGGCTCACAGAGAGGTCAAAGTGTTTAAATTGATTCAGTCAGCGTAAGGGGACAAAAAAAATCGACCCAATTTTTGTTCTGAACAGAATTGGTGTAACATTGTTACCTCTTATCTACCTCCCTTTTACTAATGTGAAACAAAATTAATGAGAGACAAGACTCTTTTAAGTTGCTAAAATGACTAGATGTGTACTTAAAGAATGAGGAAACAAATTGAAAACTAGTGCACTCGTCTGAAAGTATCATAGAGCATAGTTTTGGGGCTATTTTCCCCCCTTATTTTTCCAAATCTTGGCAATGTTACATTTTCAAGAGCCATCGATTCTAAAACATCCATTTTTTAAAATGTTCAATTACTTGTGAAATGTTTTGCTCGGTCATTCAGGTTTTTTAAAATATACGAAATTATTTTGAATAGCTTTGCAATCACAATTTCAATTTAAAGCATTATAATCCCCTGGAAACTGTATCTCGCATTAATTTTTAAAATGATATGGTTTAGGTCAGACATTTTGTTTGGAAATTCATCGAGATCGAAACATGTTTTACATAATTTAAGGTTGACGGACCAAGTACGTATAAAACTTATATAGTGTGTTTCCTTCGGAAAATATACCAAAACTTGTACTTATCTGGCACATTATCTTTCTCAGGGTCCGAAAAATCCCAACGTCTACTAAATGAACCGTATCAGAGAGAATAATTCCCCATGAGGCTTGAGAAATGTTTTGCACCTTATAATGTTCTGTTCTCTAGAATATTGAGAATCCTAAAATGAGATTCTTTCAAAAAGGTTTTTCTTTATTATTTTTATATTTCTGAATAGTTTTCTCCTTTTTGTTATTTTATATTGTGAACAAGTTTTCATGCCTGAAACTCGGTGTTTTTATTATTATTATCTTTTTTTAAAACTTCGATCCAGTAATTCACATTCCTTTCTCATGAATCTATTTGACTGTTCATTCGATTCGCACCATTAGATTTTGTGAGCTCATACCAAAAAAGAAAAAATATGAAGATCAAGCTAAATTTCCTCAAAATTGTTTTCATCCCGAAACTTTTTTCGGGCATCTCTTTCGGAAGTTCTTAAAATTGGCAGTCTGAGTTTGAACTTTAGTAGTTCTTTTTTTAAGGTAGGTATAAGTAATCACACCTCACCTTTTTATCTCTTCGACGTGTTCAACATTGATCTGTTGCCAATAAATGTTTTTCAAAATATCCCTCATTCGTATGATTAGATATTCCTTTGGTTTCGCTTTAAAGTATAGTATATCTGAAAAAACTCATAATTTCCGAACAATTTTTTAGTTAAAACGGAATTATGATGTTTGCACGAATCAAAATTTCATATTAATAACACTGATAATACTGATATTTCAGATACCTACTCTACATCAATCATAGCTCAAGGTCAAGCAGCAGTTAAGAAAACAATTTTTATTTAAACCTTGAAAGGAATTTTGCTCGGTTTTTTGTGGTTCCTTCTCTTTTGACATGATTTTATGTATTCGTCATTTGTACAGAGAGAAACATCACGAGGAATGAAGAATTTATATAGAATCTCCTTGCCTTTAGGTATGTAAGCTTTCATGTACTTATTAACAAATCAAGATTTATGAATATGTTCGTAATATTTGTGTTCCAGAGAAAAACCAAGTTAGGAAAAAAAATAGTTACTTGACGGCTGCTTGTACCGGTAAAGTTTCCGGAAAAATGAAAGTTCCTGCCGCCTGATTGTTGAAAATTTGCCAGCAAGAAAATACAATACATAGCCCTATCTGTGCCGTGTAATATTTCGGTTTTCGATGTCTTGTCATGCTGACATACATTTCAACTATGAGGCCGCCGGTTGTTTTTGCTGTAATTCAATCTCCGGATCGAACCAAAGAATTTAGTTTGATCTTATTATTATCAGTGGGATGTAAAACCAGTTAGGGCTGTTTAGAGTCCATAAATATGTATAAATTAGATGTTTTTATGTACATGTTTTTAATAATAAATCATTTTATATTACTTCTCAGTATTACTAAAAAATAGATGCCTAACGAAAGTATTTTAAATTAAAATACTAATGAACTGTACACTATCTTTGTAAATTATTAAAATATTTTCTATTGGACGTGTAAAGAAAACGTGTTTATTTTTCTGAACTGATAAAACGGGGGGGGGAGGGGGGTAGAGATACCCTATCACAAGCAATTAGTACACTTTAACAAACGTGTAATGATAAAAGTAGCGATTCCATTAAAAATGAGGAATCAGAAAGAAATATTTAATACCGCTCATAAACCGACAAGGGTCAACATTTCACGTATTCCTCAGAGGAATAAAACTCTCCTTTTTTGTAGGTGAAACATAAGCAACTCTCTACATGTTGAAATATAGGCACAGCCTATTGTAGATAAATATTCATCATTTGTTTTTCATTCAGAACAAAAATTCATTAATTAAATTCAATTAGATCAATCGACAAAAAAAGGATATTCCTCTGAAAATAGTTTTGTCAAAATACTATGATCTTCGGTGATGGTTTTGTAAAATATACCATCCTCGTCGATTAGATACCACCATTATCTCTCGCCGGAACTCGTTTTGCTTACAATGCCAAACGAAGGCGAATCCATCGATTCCTTCCTGAACCGGCAACGAATTTCCTGGTCAAGATTTTACAATGACTGATTCTCCGCCATAGATGCAAATCAGCTTTTTGAACAACTGGTCCCGAAAGCTTTGTCTTCATGGCACACACTGGAAAAAAAACACATTGGATCTAGAGTCTAGACTCTTGAAAACATTGACCAGAAAAAGGACCCTTGATTCAATCAGATTCAAGCTTAAATCAAAAGGAAATCCGCTCAAATTAAGAGGCTTGGTTCTTGATTGAAGCTTAAATCTGATTGAATCAAGAGTATTCTTTCTTTTCGATGTTTTTAAGAGTCTGGACTCTAGATCCAATGTGTTTTTTTCTCCTTCTTCAGTGCACCGTAGATCGAGTTAGTAGGAGAGGTCAGACAAAATTTGGAACTTTAAAAGCTTATAACTCCGGTTATACCAAATTCCGAGCAACTGAAAGTAACTCCATTAGTTTTCTCGGAAATTCTCTGCTGAAAACACCCTTTAAATTCAAAACGTAACGAAATAAACATAAAAAATTGCGATTTTAGTCAAAAATCTTACGTCCGACCTCTCTAATTGATCCGATCCTTTGCGCGGCACGGTTCAAGGGATTTGCCCCGTTTGCGAAGTAGAAAAATATTGTTTTCGTCAATACTAATCAGAGTGCCAAGCAGAGTCCTTGTGGAGCGACTCACATCACTCAGAGAGAAGAAGAATAAGAAGAATGTTGTTTTGTTTTGTTCAACTTGAAAAAAGCCCAGAAGTTTCATTCCTGCGAATTCCTACGATTTGAACTTGGGACCAATCCCATGGATCGTCACGCAGAAACAAGGTCTGAGAAATTTTCGATGCATTCTAAAACGGGTGTGTCTATCCCTTCTGTGCTGTGCCGTCCACTCAAAAGCGCAGTGTTGAAAAATACAAGTACAATATGAGGTTCTTTCCCTCAGCGCGGTTCAGGTGCCTGCGGGCTGATTTCTGAAATTGATAGACAAAGCTATAGACAAAGACGATAAGCAGAATATGGAGAGTTCCTATTGGTGGAGATGGGATATGTCTTCTTTGTCTATTGCTTTGTCTATCCATTTCAACAATCTGTCCGCTGAGGTTCATCTCATCAATGGAGCGAGCCGAAGGTTAAATAAAATTGATATCTGAGGAATTGACTTTCAAAACGTGCCCGCCATCAGGAGTTGTTAAGGTTGAGCATGGTGCATGTTCCTCGCTGTGAAAGATACTTACATAAGGGTCCATGTAATTTCGAAACTTTAAACATGTATCTCTCGAAATAGCAAAACTGCACTTATGCGCCTTGTCCTCCAAGCCCTTCAAAAGACGTACCTAGCAGCTGCATCAATTCTTCGGACGGATCGAATACTACCTGTTTTTGTGTTAAATTCGTAGGGCCACGTGTACGGAGGAGCTCTTAAGCCGAATAGTATAGTGAAAGTCAGAGGTTTGGAAAGGAAAAGAAGAATAAACCTTATTGCAGCATCTATTTTATACCGAGTTGGCATACGCAAGCAGTTTTGCTTTTTTGTCTACTTTTTTTTTTTATTCCATATATTTTTTGCTGGTGCTAAGGGTATCATATGAACTCGAATAAAGAATATAATATACTGGTATGGTTATTTAGATTAAGGAGCGAAGAGTTAAGTGACAGCAATTTGAAAACGAAAACCGAAACTGGAAACGCGATAGGCTGCCCGTTAGGAGCACCCATTTGACCCCACACGGAGTGGATGACACGAGGATGAGAGCTAGACGTCGCATCATCGTTTGAAAAAAAAAAAAAAAAATTCGAGATGATGCAGACGCCATCGGGTGTCGCACGGTGGATCGAGTCAATCAGAGAGGTCAAACATAACATTTTTGACTAAATCTGCCAATTTTGATGTTTAATTTGTTACATTTTAAATTTTAAGGGGTGCTGCTAGAGGAAAATTTCTCGAGAAAACCAGTGAAACCACTTTTAAAACCTCGAAATTTTGTGGGAACAGAGTTATAAGCGTTTAAAATTTCCGAATTTTGTCCTCTCCTATTGACTCGACCCACTGTGCGTCGGACGTCGGCGCAGAAAAAGCAAAGCGCTTAGTCGCCAGGGTCGGTTTCACAGAAGAAGTGTTTTAGAAACCGCGAACTAATACATAAAAAAGTCCTTTTTGGGCATCATCTGTGCTCTTGCCGTTTGATGACTCACAATAAAATTTATGTGTTCAGCGGTCTTTTCTGAAAATAGGACCCAGTTTGACAAACTATCTAACTTTGCAAATTGTACAATGCCCTCAGAATTGGAAATTCTCAACGAGTCCTGAAAAACTTTTTGTCGCCACGCGAAGTCGCCAGGGTCGGATTTACAGAAAAAGTGTTTCAGAAACCTAGAACTAATACATGAAAAAGTCCTTTTTGGGTATCATCTGTATTCTTGCCGTTTGATGACTCACAATAAAATTGACGTGTTAAGCAATCTGTTTCACAAATCTGGCCCAGTTTGACATAAACTATCTGATTCTCCAAACTCCCCAATGCCTTCAGAAATGGGAATTTGTATCGAGTTTTTAAAAATTTTCTGGAATGCATTCAGGGGGCAAAGAAACGCATAAAAAGATTGCTATTTCGGTCCTCAAGTTTTGCGCGCGAAAATAAGCCCCGCCCCCACAACACAAAACAACTCCGAACAAAATGCGATTGTTGCTTGTTTTCACAACATAGCCTGTGTCACACTATCAAAATACTCAATCAAAATGTCTAGGTCAAGTGCTGTGATTGGCTCAAGTCATCGAATAAGCCAATCACAATCCCTGACCTTGTTAATTTGATGGCCAGCTTTGATGGTGTGACAGGCTCATGTTGCGAGTGTTGCCTCCGAACATAATACGACTTTTTACTCACGCCTTGTCAAATAAAAGTGAGCCGCTGCCATTTCAAATTTCATTTCTGCATAAAAGTATGCGTTTCACCTATTTTTTTTCTACGGCCCCTCATTAAAATTAAGCATTAGCAGGTGGGAATCATACTCATCACAAATGAAAAATAAGCAAATAAGTCATTGAGCTAATTTTGAGAGCACAGTGATTAATGAAATGTTAGATTATGGAATACTCGCTTTGAATCCGTTTCCAAGAAAGTCTCTTGTGAACCGAGCCGGGGCCCTTCAAGCAACCCATTTCATGCTCGATGTACTTTGGAGTAAAAAGTTGTATTCAAGTGAGGAATGTGTCGAGTGTGTTGGATGCTTGGATTCCGTCGAGCCGATGCAAGGGCGTAAGTGCTCCTTGAGATGGGCTCTGTGGTACATTTAACCCTAAGCTCCTCAGGGCTCACGATAGAATCAAGATATGTACTTAGGCCACCTGATCAACGATTCGACAGAGCCACACCTATCTACACACGCTCTTAACGCGTGATAGTGACCGACTGTTTTCGTCCGTTGTTTTACAAAGTTTAATTCTCCCTTCCACAAGTCTTACGGACTGGGATTTAAGAACAAGCTTGTAGTCTCCTAGCAATTTTTTTTTTTTAGAAAAAATTGTAAAAAACACGTTATAAAAAGTTGCAATTAAAGTGTCCTCGAAAAATTTGAAAATAAGTTCAAAATTACGGATTTAACTGGAACAAGCGTAGCGATACACCTGACGTTTCTTAATTTTCCCTGATGTCTAATTTTTTAAACATAAAACCAGACAACCCTGAATTTTGAAACTTTGTGATCATATTTTTCACTATCCGGGGTAAATTCACAGACAATTTGAAATTTTTGAGTCGTTCTGCGTTGAAAATATAAAGCACATGTCAAAAGTAGATGACGTCAAATGCAGCTGGGATACTTCCGATTCAAATTCGTCCAAATGTTTCGTCTTCACGGTAAGTCATTAGTAAGCGTGCACTTCGCAAAGAGTGGAAAGTATATGCAGCATATTTCTGGGGTAAGGCCAGCCCTTACTACCACTAGAGGGGTGGTTCCTTGTACAAGAGACAGTGCTAGGAGTTTTCCCTGGAATATTCTGTATTACTAACCCTTCTTGGACTCAACTTGCGGCTGTCCTGGGTCTGGCGTAACATGCGGCAGTAAGCATGCCTCAAACTGCACTCCAGCGACAAGCCTTGAAAAATATCTCAAAATTACAACACCTGTTTCTCATCCCACGATCGAGAGCAACCAGACGTTACCGTTTCGAATTTAAGAGGGGAGGGGAATCAGGCAGGCTCTGATCCCTTCCAAACAAGACCCTGACTGCGATGAAACTTTAATAAAAAATTGGGAATGGAAACATTATTTTCTATGGTCAGTGAAATTAATTTTCTGAAAATCCAGGTTTCGTGAGATGGTAACACACTGAAAACTAAATCTCGGTGTATTTACTTGAAAAGGGTAAAATTACCAAGAATTCAGGGTTCTATTTGATCCTAGTTTTTTCTTGGTAAAATTACCATTTATGGAATTGGTAAATTTACCGAGAAATCTCGGTAAAATTATTGAACTTTCTCGGTAATTTTACTGGACCTTGGTA